CTTTGATTGGTTTTTGAGAAGGTGAAAGTGCATCTGAATTTAGATGTAAACATGAACATGAGCGTGGGCGTGAACCGAGTAGCTAGCTACCCTAGGTAGGTATACATTGGGCTTGAAGTGAATGGTGATGGGTGATGGTACACATGACATCATCCCAAGAAATATTCACCATGTACGTAGAGGATTCTTGTGTTCTCGTGGTCTTGCGTTCATGTGTCCATATATTCATAGATGTTGAGTTGGATTAAGAAAAAGTTGAATATCAATCAAGAACAAAAAGACCATCTAGGAGTATTCAAGGTAGATTGGCAATAACATGGACGATAAACCAAAGACAAATTTCACAATGCAATTAGACAAGATATTTATGTTCATGTAATATTTTTATTTCCCAAAGCAATGAAATGCAATGTTACTAAGTACAGCGCCCGTTTGCGATACCCACTTCCCCTAACCATCATCATTACGATCATCAGTTAAACCATTGAACCCATCACCCCAATAGTATTTCCATCAATGTATTAGAAATCCCATATCAATAAGCTAGCTCCTTGCATGTTGTAAAGTGAAGTGAAGAAAGAAATTAATCCATTCATTCCTTCATTTACAAAGCAGCAGCAAAGATGGCGGCACCACCGAAGAGAGCAGCAGCTCCCATAGCACCAGTTTGAATAGCAGCTCCACCAGTAGAAGTAGAGGTGACAGTTGCACCAGCAGAGTTGGTGGTGGTAACAACTGAACCAGCAGAGGTAGCACGGCTACTGGCAGAAGAGGACAAAGAGGAAGTCTTGGAGCTCAAGCTGGATGCAAGAGAGCTGGAGACAGATGCGAGAGAAGAGGAAGCAGAGGAGGCGGCCGAGCCAGTGAGAGTTGCTGCGGAAGATTGAGCAGCCGAGAGAGAAGATTCAGCTGAAGCTTGAGCAGAGTTGATGGAAGATTCGGCAGAGGATACGACGGAGGAGAGAGAAGAGGAAACGGAAGAGAGAGTAGATGAGAGACCAGATGCGAGGGAAGCGGAGGACTCAGAAACGGAAGAGGCGGAAGAGGCAGATGTCACGGCTGCACTCGATGCGGAATCAGTGGCGGAGCTGAGAAGAGTTCCAGCACTGGCGGTAGCCTCGGAGAGAATAGATTCAACAGAGGATTGACCCTGCGATGTTATGTTAGTATCTCTGTACATGTGTATATTGTCGATTTGATCTATAGATCCATCGATCTATATCCAAAGATGAAAGTCAAAACATACCATAACGGCACCGGCCAAAGCCAAAACGACAATGTTCTTGAATTGCATATTTGCGGTTGATTGAATTAAACTTGTTTGTTTTTGAAGAGGTATTGGGTATGTAATGAAGAAAGTAATAAAAGACTTTTTGGGTATCGAGTTGAAGTGAAGAGTGGTGAGAGTGTGTGTAAGAAAGAGATTTAGATGTAAAGAAGAAGAAGAAGAAAAGTTCCATCAACAAACAGGAAGCCGAATTCTTATATAGCCCGTCCGCCAACAGCACAAACGACCTTTCCATGTATGTATACCAAGGTCTTCTACCTAGGTAGGTAGGCACCTCCACTAGGTCATACTAGCCTCATCATTACTTCCAACCTTGGAAGTTAATAATAAGTGGCTTAGGCGCTCCACTTTTCCAGCTTTCTGGTCGTTTTGTATTATTTTTGATTGGTTCGTGGAATTCCATGGAGGAGGAATTAGGAATTAGGTACGTGCTAGGTATGATTTAACATTCTTAACATTCACGTCATTGCCGTGCCAGACTAACTTTTGTGGGTATTGACTAATCTCCTAGTTTCATGGCAAAGGCAAAGGCAGAGCAGAGGCGAAAGAGAGTACAAGTAATAGAGCTACCTGTAGGGTCAAGGTAAAGAATTCTATCGAACCAACATGAAAGAATTGAGTGAAAGGATGAAAAGGTTTCGTTGAACGCTTTCCGTTTGTTTGGTTTGTTCTACTTCGTAGTACCTAGGTTGGTTGTACTTGAGATGTGAAGCTAGTATGATTGGAGTATAATTGAAGTATAATTTGTATAAAATTTGCATAGCCCATAGTTTATATAATCAAAGCACGCTGTTCCATTTCTTTGTCTTCTACCTACCTAGGTAGACACTAATTAGTATTTACCTGAACAGAGAGCGCGTAAAGATACGTCCCCTTCGTTATACTTTACCACGCCATCCTCCCAGACCCATAGCGTGATTTGGTCGAAAAGCTATTTTGGTTTTTGTAGAGACGGAGAGAGTAGTGTGCAGCAGTAGTATCTGAGTACGTACTATAATAGTGAAAGGAAAGATGCACTGAGCACGAGCATGTGTACCTGCTCTACTACACACAATAGGAAATTGAGTGTTGACAATTGGTTGCATACATACCTAGGTATACAAAATCATCACATCACATACATACCTACAGTGAAAACAAAACAAATCAAATCATAGCATAACATCGATACGAAGGAACACCGACCTACCCATCATCCATCCACTATTCACGTGTTATGACAACATAGATGTTTCCAATAGACAGTCGAGACAGTCGAGACAGTCCAAACGGACAAATATGATGAAATAAATCACTGAGACAACCCGCTTGGTCCAATTCCTCTGACATCCATCGTCATATCATATCATATCATCACATCACATCACATCACAACATACGGTGATGACATAAACATAAACATCATAACCCAGCGCACATATAGGTAGGGAGCCCGTCCCAGCCCATTCACCTCCCAACCCCCAAAATGCGATGTTCACGTGAATCGAGAAAAGTAATTTGCCATCTTTTATGCTGGAATCCGGATGGAGTGTCTCGCTTTGGAATGTCCTAGTCACCATGTACCTACTCTGTAAGAAGTAGTCAATACCCTAGTAAACATGTTGTGAACTTGTGATTGTACACGGTGCTAGAGAAAAAGAGTCCGGGGAGTCCGACGGTACGAGGTTAGTAGATGCATATATATACGGAGTATATGGTTCTAGACAATTGACAATTAAGTGGTGTTTATAACTGGCTCTTCTATTCTAAATCTGGAGCATCTAGACATCTGAGCATAAATTAGTTTTTTTTTCTTCCTTTCATTGCCTTGTCTTGCCTTTCATAAATATTATAAACTTCCAGTAAAGAGTCCGAGAAATAGTTAACTAGTAGCTATACCCATCATCTAAATACACATATATACATACATATTATGCAAACCCTCCACAACAAAACAGCACAACAACACCAAATCCAAATCCAAATCCAAATCCTCAAGAAGTAAGCAACGCAACGCAACGCAACACAGCAAAGCTCGGCAAGCTGCCGTTATACCGAAAAGCACGCTTTCCACACTCCCTTCCCGGCGAAATCAACAAATCAAACCCCAGTATTCCCTCTCGTTTTATGTAACGAGATGGCATCCCTACTGCACATCATTTCTTGGCGCAGTTTGAAGGTTGTTGTTGAGCCTGCATTTGCATGGATGTTCAGTTGTGAGTTGTAACCTTGCTTGTGCTATCGCCTATTAGGTATGTATGGATTATTTATGGATTATATTATATCAAATCATATCAAATCATGTCATATCACATCTGCTATTTCCATCTTCCCTTTGCTAGTAAAGCAGAAGAAGAAAGATCAATCTCAAAATCCTCGATACATATCTCCTAAAATCCCCCCTCCTTCAAAAATCAAATCAAATATCAACATTACAGTGTACATTACCCCAAACAAAACCACCAACCAAACCAAACACCCAAAGTCAACTTAAACTTAAACTTTTGAGTACCCTCCCTCCCGAAGCTCCCCTCCCTCCCGAGCTCCCCTCCCCTCCCCTCCCCCCAGTCCATCCAACCGCGATCCCCGATCCCCGATCCCCGCACTTGGCATCTACCCTAGCTTCCCTTTTCTTTCCTTTCCTTTGCTTCCCAGCCACAGACAGCCCAGACTCCAAGGATTTTAATTCCCTCTCACCTCTCCTCTCATTCGCCCAAATCAAAAATCATAAATCATAAATCAAAAACCTAAATCATCCATCCATCCACTCATTCTCCACCATAGCGTCATCATAGTTCTTGGTACCTTTTTTTCATTATTCATTATTCATTATTCATTATTCATTATTCATTATTCATTATTCATTATTCATTATTCATTATTCATTATTCATTATTCATTATTCATTATTCATTATTCATTAGGTAGGTACGGTATCCATTCATTTCACAACTACCTACCTACCTACCTACCTACCTCGGTATGTATTATTACTATTACTATTTTTTTTACTACCCACCCAGGTAAATATTCTTACAAAAACCACAACCACAGTTATAAAAATCATCATTACCATAATCTCACCTGACCTGATCTGATCCGATATGATCCATACGAAAACAAGAACAAGAACCTTGAAATCCATCCTCAAAATTCACTCCCAACTTGATTCTCCCGACTCGAGAAAACAAAAGCATCAGCATCAGCATCAGCATCAGCATCAATCAACATTGGCATGCCATGGATTGGCACCGGCACTTAAATATCCGTTTAGCCGTCTTTTCCATCCTCATCCCCAAGCCCCAGCCACAGTCTCAGCCACAGCCGCGAATCTCAAACGCCACCCACCTGCCCAGACGGGTGCCCACCACCCACTTGAATAGGTAGGAACAGGAGGGACATTCAAGAACACCCAAATCACTCGAGCAAACCCTTGAAGAAGAGAGAAACATACAACCAAGTAGGTACTTTGAAAACATTCATGTTCAAATATTCAAGTATTAGATCATAAGCTCAGTATATCGTAGAATTAAATCCATAAAAATGGTAAATCTTGATGAATTCAAAAGCTTTTCAATAGCTTTACTTATTTATATGTGAATGTAAATTCAAAGGTATGGATAATCTATCTAATTTGATATCGAATAGTGAAAAGAGTCTTCATATTTGATGTCCCGCTCTTTTCGTCCTGCTGTGCTGGAGTAATCTTAGGGTCGAGTGTATTCCTGATCTGTCAGATCCTCGGCAACTAGATGGTTGCTAGAGGTAGGTACATTCTATTGCCACCTGCGTCTTGGTAATGATCTAAGTAGCCGATGCCTGATGCGAATCCTTTCTTCCAAGATCAAATCGGGGAAAGTAATCCAAGAAAAGTTACATGAACATGTAACCAATTACTTAAGAGTTCATCGCCACCAAACGCTTGGTGGTTTCAACCCGTTTCAATCAAGTCCTCGAGAATCGAGAATATTCCATCATTGAATGTCTGTGAGACCATTGCAAATGACGCTCCGCTGGCCCTCCGGGAGCCACTGCCGTGGAGGCAGACTATTGAGGTACAATGTAAATAATGTTCATTCAGTTATTGGTTTGATATGGAGCAATTCCCTTCTTAATCTCATATACTATCTCTGCCGCTTCATCTGCACTTTTGGCTTCAAAATCATATCGTTTTTCTTCTCGTGATTTGTATACCACAAGCTGTATTAATATTGTTCATTAGTTTCAGATTTGAGGGTAGAGACGCTAGATTCTGTATAACATACCTTGAAATTGGTCGGGTGTCTTCGTGTTACTTTACAACCAACCACATTACTAAAATGCACCGTGGTTGTTTTACCTTGTCCTTCAAACATCGTCTTTCCTGTGGATGCTGGAAGAATATGTAGATATTCTCCATCAATCGCAATCACTCTTTCATTCATTCCTACAAATCTCATTGGTTGTTTTCGCCATACTATATACCTTCGATAGTTGGCACTTCCAAGTTCATCTTGCTTGACACTCTCCATGAGAGGATGTGGTACTAACATTTGAGTTCCCTTGCGAGCTTTGCGAGGATCGGGTCGATCTACCATTAATGAATTGGGTGTACTACTTGATGGTGAACCAGTCATCGTTAATGGTCCATCCGTAGCAAAACGTCGCCGATACAAATCTAGTTCTGATGAATTACCAATTGATCCTACTGTGCGATCAAGATAAACAACAGTCCCAGATCCGGTAAGTTTTAGAACGTGTCCTGCTTTGTCCAGTTGTCTCTTCTTACAAACCGTATCGAGGACATCAGCCAAGTAAGTATCGGTTGTGACTTCCAGAGCGACCATTTGCCCAGGTGTAGCATTTATCGAATGAATGTGAATGCTCAAGATCTTTTTTGTACCACCACCTCGAGAAGTAGGTTGAGTAAGAGCTGTTCCAATTGTAGGTGCATCTGCTAACGTGGAATTCTTTCGTAATGCAGTCATGGTTGTAAGAAGAGGATTTTGATAAGGTTGTGTACCAAGAGGAAATGAAGTATTAGCTTTGGGTGTATTGATAGGAGTAAAATCTTCTTCCGTTTCAGATGAGGCAACCGCCTCTTGTTTGAATTGAGGTGTAAGCCTCTGATTCTCCTCAAACTGTTCATCGGTAGCTTCAACCAAAGCAAACTCGTCAAAAGTTTTGGAATTTGATCTCGCTCTTGGTCCAGCTTTATTGTTGGCAAACGTAAATGATGTAACTGGCTTGAGACGATCAAGAGGTGGGAAGTCGGTGTCCACTTCCCCATCATCGACCATCCTTAAGATCCATCGATTGACATTCAATTTCTCAGGGGCTATGGTAGGTTCCAATTTTTCCTCAAAATACCTCCATAGACTCAACCCGATCAAATCAGTAATGACCACTGGTCGATTATGTGATTCATCTTCATGAACAGTTCTTCGAATCAAAACCTCGTAGGGCTTCTTTGTTGAAGTAGCAAATGGCGCCAATATACGGATATTGATAGGGTTTGGATCACCTTGTCCAGAGAGAGATGCAAAATTTTCAAATGGCATATTAGCTTTCGTTCGCTTAGCCGTAATCATTGCTGTCAACAAACTCTTGGGTTGTATCATACTAATTGGACGAGGAGGTGGTAGGGCTTGAAGTATTGGAGGGGCTGGCTTGGATCTTTTCGTTGGTGATCGTATAAGATCTCGAGGTATAGTATTACCGATATGTTCTGGAGCTGCAGTTATCGGTCCATCGACACTATCTAATATGGATGCACTGTCGATACTACCACCAAATGTGGAAGACATATCTGATCCCGAGTCTTCTTCTTCCTCCTCCTCTTCTAAGAGATCACTGACTTGTCTCTTCACACCCACATCAGGATCCGACGGACGTGTTCGAACCGTTCTGCCGGCTCTCGCAGCATTTCTGTTTGATTCTCTCTGTCTTTGGAAAGCAGATGCATCAAACTCATTATCAGATGACATTTCACTACTCGTAACAGTATCTCTTCTTGCTCTTTCCTTCACAACTTCCACAGCAGACTGAGAACCCCTTCTTATGCCAGGTCCTGGAGTGCGTGAAGGAGAACTCGCAGTAGTAGATTGTCGAAGATTGGATCCACGAATAGGAGAAGAACCAGAACGATTTCGTATAGGCATTTTAGAGAATTTGATTTGTTGTGCTGCCCTTTGATCTCCATCATCATCACTATCATCACTCAAATCACTGCTATCTTCCTCCTCCATTTGTTCTCGTCTGCGCCTCCTTTTGGTAGCGATTCCAGGCCCAACAGTATCCCCTGCCCCTCCTGTGAGCAAACCTCCTTCATCGACTTCATCTTCAAGACCTGAAGGTGCCAGACCAGCTGATCTAGGTGGTGCTTGGAAATATTCCGATGCGATGGCGGTGGGTATTGGTGGGGAATGAGTTCGTTTTATATTTGCGGCATTCGTGCGCCATCCAGCAGCTTTGAATCCGGGAGTGTTTAGGAATCCATCGTTGATTGTTATGAGCCTTTCACCAACACCATCCGCGATTGTGTTTAAATAATTTGATCTCAATTGATAAGAGACGAGACTGTGTAACGCGTTAGTTAGATTAAGGAAGTGGGATGGTTGGGAATTTAGAAATCTTACTCTTCCACTTGAATGACCGACATAGTAGAAAAATAATGTAAACAATGTATAGAAACGATCACCGGCTCGTAAGTACGAAAGAATGGTAAGAAGGGTTAGAAGGTGTGATTGCTCAAGTCATTATCAAGCTTCCATAATTGAATTCAACATGGTGGATGAAGTTGAGATACTATCAGTGTTCAGCCTTACAGTATCTGGGGTACACTAAAATTGACGCCTGTGTGATTTTCATCAGGCTGTAATGACAGCCTTTTCCTCAACTGTCACAAATCACAAACTCCAAACCGTTACAATCAAAATCATCAAAAAACACCGCAACAATGGGACTGGTAGATTATTCAGACTCGGAAGATTCAGACTCTCCAGAAGTTACTGCCCCAAAGCCATCAACATCAACATCAACATCTGCAACTGGTAAATCTACATTCCAAAAAGTTGTCGATAGATCAAATCCTGGCAAGATTCGAGTTTCATTACCACAAGCATCTTTGAAAGATGATACGAAAACCGATGAGCCTCCAACGAAGCGCGCAAAGACAGGTGGTGGAGCTTTCAGCGGATTTAATTCATTCTTGCCAGCTCCAAAGAGGACAGAACAATCTACGAGTGCGACGTTAGGTGGTGGAAATGGGGCGCGAAAGAGTGGTTTGGGAGCTGGAGTTAGTTTGAAGACTGGTGCAGCTCCTGCTTTTAGTAGAGAAGCGGAACCGGTACAGGAGAGAGAATACACAACGGGAGAGCCTGCTGAAGAGGAAGAGGGAGCTAGTGGATCTGGATTGAATTTACCTCCTCCAAGCTCCTTGGTCGATGAACAGAAACCAGCAGATGAAGTCAAATTGGTCGGGAAACCATTAATGTTCAGACCATTATCCGTCGCGAGGAAGCCAGCAAAAAAGAAGCTCCAGAAGCCAAATTCAAATGCATCTACGCCTTCCACTTCTACTTCAACACCACAAATTAGCACGCCAGCCACTCCACAGAATACCGGGAAGGTAGCGCCAAAACCAAAAGTATCCTTATTCTCTCTAGAAGTAGAAACAGTCAACACTCCAAACACCACTTCAAACGGAGAATACACACCACTGCTCTACCAACCCACCCCTTCCAAAGAGCCTATATACGAAGAGTACACCCCAACAACCAATCACACCCTCCCCTTCGCTCCCACGCCCCCAGTAAATAACCACAATACCGAATCCCTCTCCTCTATAGCCGACACTCTCCATCTCTCCGCCGCCGAACGTCGCCAACTCTTCGGTCGTCAAAAAGGTGGTGGCTCCGGTTCACAGGCTGCAACAAAAATCATAAATTTCAACACAGATCAAGAATACGCACATAATGAAGAACTCCGCGCAGCAGGCGAACAAGTTGTTCATAATCCTGTCAGAGCAATCGCGCCTGGTAAACATAGTTTGAAACAGTTGGTTGGAGCGGCGCAGAGTCAGAGGGAAGCATTGGAGGAGAGTTTTGCGACGGGTAGGAATAATAGAAAGGAAGCGGGGAGTAAATATGGATGGTAGATCTGGGGTCTGGACACTAGATTGGTTACTAATGATGAGGAAGAAAGAAGAAGAAGAAGAGAAGAAGGTGGAATGGAAATATGAAATGAGAAATGAGAAATAATTCGATACCCATATACAGTATTCTCAAAACGTGGTTCATGATTTGTAATGTTGCACTGATATATCGGACAAATCTCAAACCTTCTCTCATGTTCTCACTCATCTCGCTGGTAAATATCATAGCAGTGCAACGATAAGCGAGGAGACCCCCTTACATTACTGGAAGATGGGTATCAACTTGCTATCACTTTGAACTAATCGAATTATCTATTGAATATCTTGCAAAGCAGAAGCTGCCAAGACTCTCGACGATAGTAACGATATTCTCATATTGACGAAATCATTGACAGAGTAGTTGCGTAGCTATGGAGATAGGGGAGGGTATGTGAAACTCAGATGGAGCGCGCTGGTGGAGTTTGAGAGTCGGGAGGGGAATGCTAATATAGAATCTATGGTGAGAATAGGATGAGAATTTTATTCTATTGTGTTCTATTGTATTGTATTGTGATTCATGTGTTATGAATATATACTATATAGCAAAGTTAGAGGGACAGAAAGAGAGAGAGGTACATGTACATAATGAAGAGAGGAAGTAAATTGTAGTTAAGAATCGCAGTGTAGGTATGTAGAATCATATAATTAATATATATATATATATAAAGATGTACTAAATGTATATACAAATTCTATCATTTTCCCGTCCATTCATCCTAACACCTATCCCCGATTTAATAATAATAAAAACCCTCCAAACCTTTCCCGATCACAGCTCTTGTTCTCGGGAAATATATACGCCATAAGCCGAAGCTGGAACCCTTAACCCAAATATATATGAACGCTACACAAAATTTCAACAATCCACTTGAATAAGAGTGAGTCTCCTCTCTCCTCTCATCAAATGCTCCCACTCCCCTCTAGTCCCCGGACTCACATCCTCCAAGCGATTCGGGGTTCTATCACCCCTCAAGAACGGTCCCCGATCTTCTCTCTCTCCATTTCCGCTCTCCCTCTCCCAAACAGGACTTTCCCCATCTCTCCCCTTCGCGCTCTCACCCACCTCTACCAAATCCTCTTCCTCAGCACTAAAAGTCGTCTTCACCGAAAGCGACTTCCTCACTTCATCATTAAAAATCGCCTTTTCTCCTGCACTCCCCCCATAAACCTTCTTGTACCCTTCCTCAACATCACACAACGCACTCAGCGAAATCCCCAACCACTCATACCCTCTCATCACCTCACTTCTCCCGAGCTTTCCCCCCCGCACCAAAACCACGCGTCGCAACTCATCAATCGCAATACTCATATCTTCTGCAGAGAGACTGCGCGAGTAAGTATGCAGCGCGCATTTAAAGGAATACAGATTATCGAGCGAGTAGAGCGATAATCCCGGTGCGGTGAACACGACGCGATTTTGAGCCAGCGAGCGACGAATGAGATCTTGGGTTGCGGGATCGGAGATGGGGGAGGAGAGGGAAGAGGAGGAGAGCCAGTCGGATCCGATGGAGGGAAATTTCCTTTCGGCCCGGGAGATGGTGGAGCGGAGGATGCGTTCGGCGCGGGGAGTGAGACGGGTGGAATGCATGAGCGTGATGCCGTAGCGGTTGGGGGTATCGGGGGATATCCATTCTGCGGGTGGAGAAGACGGAGTGGAAGGAGGAGAAATGGATGCGCGGATGTGGTGGGTCATGGTATCTTTGGGGGAAGAAGGAAGGCCGGAGTATTTTGTGCGGGAGAGATAGATGGTCGAGGTGGAGAGGGTAGATGCTGTTGTGGAGTTTGAGCGCTCCGAAAGAGAATTCGAGAAGATCGTGCTGGTTGGGCTTGAAGAACGAGAACTAACTGGAGAGGCTCCTCGACGTGAGAGTGAAATGTTGCGAGCGTGAGATGCGAGTGGAGCGCTATTGTAAAGGAGTGTTGATGGAGATGTAGTGTGAGAATAGGAACCGGGTGCGGTTGTAGTCCTGGAAATAGCGGGACTTTGAATTTGATTATCTTTTTTGACGACGATCAATGATAAGTGAAGTCTCTTTCGTACCAAGCGTTTGGATACGTAATCGAGAGCTTCGAGTAATTCTGATGGTAGTTGCATTGGTTGGAGCAACGATGTACCCGCTTCCAACGGAGAGGATATCTTATGCTTTGAGATAGGCATATTGATGACAATGAACAGATCTTGCAATGAATAGATGTTATCGAGAGACTTTTAATCGTCTATCTTGATATCCAATGCAAAAAGCTGAAGCCGATGGGAGAGCTACTTAACTCAAGGGAGCAGTCAAGAGATATATAAACTTCAAAACTTCCAAAACCAAGAAGACGCCAATGCCCAAAATAAACTCTCCGATGCATGATACCCGCATAGCGGAGAGACAAGCATGTAGCCTTAGCATGTAACTAACATGGTATATAGGGCATATAACGCAAGATACTGATAGATCGTCGAGCTTTGACTACATTCTGCTCTATGATCACTTAACCGATTTCCCTACTACGTGCACGTCCCTGCTATATGCACGATCTTGATCACCCATTTTGAATCACTTTAAAAATTAATAACAATTCCAATTTATAAGATAAAGAGCTAGCAATTTAATTGATAAATGACAAGATATAATACTATCTAAAAACATAATAAAATCTTCAGATTTTGAATTTCGATGGAACTCGTAGTGCTCGCCCTCTACTAGATCGCAATATGACCTCCTCCTCCTTCTCCTTCGAATTATTAGCCTCTACAGCATCAGAGAGCTCTATAGTCTTTGTTGATGTTAGATCTATAGTAGAAGAAGCTTTGGGGAACTTTTTATCTCTTTTGATTGGAGATTTCGTTGATTTTAGAGTCTTTTTAACCTCCTCTTTCGCATCACGTGCAATCTGACGATCAACCTCCCTCTGCAATACTCTCTCTTTCGTCTCAATCTCCTTCCGTTCCTTCTCAGCTTTCTTTTCAGCTTTTATTTGAAGCTTAGCTTCCTTCTCTTGCTCCTCTTTAAGTGCTTTATCTTCTTGATACGCTCTAGCTTTAATAATAGCAGAGGGTGACCATAAAAACGCACCATTCCCCTCCTCTCCAATGAGATTTAAACGCTTTGAACGAGCTCTTTTCCTTTTTTCAAGCTTTAGAGCCTCTTCTAAACCTTTAGATCTATGCCCCTGTATAGAAGCTTCAGCTCCTAATGTAGTTGCAGCCTTAAAAAGCTTTAAAGTGATCTCATGGGTGGGAGCGCGACGAAATTCTAATTTCATTCTACGCATCGCTTTTGACGTATACGGTGTAGCAAGAGCATCCCTGCGAGTTTTAAATGATGTAGGTGGCGTAGAAGGAGCTTCCGGAGCAATACAGTCGATCGTAAGACTCCTATTCATAGGATATATGCCCGTTTTTTCGAAGGATCGTAAGATATTATGCCTCGTACAAGTGAGCTCCCAAGCCTTTTTAAATATGCCCCAAAACATGCGCTTTGTCATACCAACAATTCCCCCGCTATTGTGCATCAAATCATTCAATAATGTACTGTAATTCGTTGAAAGGGCACCGAAGGTTCCAACGTCGAGAGGCTGTAGTCGATGTGTAGAATGAGGGGGGAGAATTAAG